AGGGAGGGGGAAGAAAGAGGGAGTGAGGGGGAGAAAAACAGGGAGGGAGGGGGAGAAGGAAACAGGGAAGGAGGGAGGGGGGAGAAGGAAACGGAGGGAGGGGGAAGAAAGAAACAGGGAGGGAGGGAGGAAGGGGGAAAAAAGAGGGAGGGAGGAGGGAGAAGGAAACAGGGAGGGAGGGGGAGAGGGAAACAGGGAAGGAGGGGGAAGAAAGAAACAGGGAGGGGGAAGAAAGAAACAGGGAGGGGAGGGGAGGGGGGAAGAAAGAAACTGACAGGGGAGGGGGGAGAAAGAAACTAACAGGGAGGTGGGGGGGGAAAGAAACTAACGGGGGGAGACATTGACAGGGAGGGGAATTGACGGGGAGAGAGAAATTGACAGGGAGGGGGGAGTGACAGGGGAGGGAGGGGGAATGAGTAACAAGGGAGGGGGGGAGAAGAGAGTGACAAGGGAGGGGGGAGAGATTGACATCCATCACACACACAATCACACACAATGCACCCCTTACACACAAAGACAATGAACCCCTTGCACACAGAAAAACACACAATGCATTACACACACACACGCAATGCAACCCTTACACACACAATGCATTCCTTACACACACTCAATGCACCCCTTACAGACACTCAATGCACCCCTTACAGACTCACACACTTCATCCCTTACATACACAGAAACACACCTTGCAGCCCTTACACATACAAACACAGATTCACACAATGCATTCCTTACACACAAATCAGGACATCCCCTACACACTCCACCCCCTGTGAACAAACTCATTGGTGGAACATGAAGGTGAACCCTGGGACCCAAAAACCACATAAAAATACATAACTCTTATAATACAATGTTTAACCTATATGTCCAACATATCCCCAGATAGCTTGGATCTGAGTGCTCAATATGTCTCATGTTAAAAGTGCCCTATAGTACAAGGAAGGGAGGGGTCAGAAAATAGCAAGGGCTGATGGGAGATTGAGGAGGGACAAAGCAGCCAGTTTAAACTGGTCTGGCATTGTCCCTAGGACAACGCCCTGCTGGAGAACAATAGGACAGGAAAAAGGGGGTAGGGGAAGAGGCACATTTTCACATAGATTTAAAGGGGCAGAAAAAGTGTTTTAAGATCCAGTATGCCCAAATAGGGTTTTTAAACGGCAATATCCCCAGGGGCCATAGTCACAGGGCAGGAGGCAGGCAAGCAGGCCCCTCCAAAAACTCATGGCATACACCCTTAAAAAGGGGAGCAGCTTAGTTGTTGCTTGCTTGGTCGCGAAGTTTGAATTCACCGGACTAAACCAAGCAACACCATGGAACTAATTTCAGGCATGTACAGAGCCTCGAGCCCCAGACTTGGCTCTGTACATTCAATTGCAACCGCCTTTTGCAGGGATCCCAGATGGGACTTGGGGCTATTTAACGATATCAGTTTTTAACCCTTGTCACCACTTCCCTTTCCGGGGCGCCGAGCCCCAAAGTTCACCCCCCTGTATGTAATATGTTCTCATGTGTGTCCCTGCGCCCTGTTGGTATCTCCCAGAGCAGGATTTGGTTATCTGTAACCCAGCCCCCCCCTCTCCTGCCTGGGATTGTGTTGTGTTGGATGGAGACCCCCTGTGGGGGTCTATGCATAAAATAAGCCTGTTCTCAATAAAGATTGTGAAAAGGTTGTACCCTGGAACTGTGTGTCGTCCAGTTACTGGGGGAAATTGGTCTGGGCAATTACTAATAGCGGGGGATAACCAGCTGGGTTACCCAGGTCCCACTACAGACGGTTAATGTAAGATTTATATCGGTAAGGGATATGGTGACAGTTAATGTAAGATTTATATTGATAACAGATACAATGACTGTAACAAACCTCATGTACTTCATATCGTACGTTCGTTTGCAATTTCCCAAAATCACGCAAGATTGTGTGAATTATAGCTCTTAATGGTTTGCATACGCAAACATCAGTCAAAAAATGATGAAGGGTACCAGAGGAATGTTATAATATGTTTTATTATGGCCAGATGGCGTACTTTTATACACAGTCCCCCAGCATGCGGCATCCAGCAGCAACATATGTAAAACAGGCCCAGGCGTCTCTGTGTCTGGGAGATAAGTGAGTTTACTCTGCTTAAACTGCTTAAGTTTGTGGTTGCTTTGAAGGTAATGAGCCAGGGGTGGTCTGCATTCGGTAGACAGAAATACTGAACAAAAAGGAAGATAACTTGGGCTTAGGGAAAACAAGAGAGTTTCAGGGCCATTTGTCACAGTGACAGCCTATGTAATATTTATATCGGTAACAGATACGGTAATGGTTACTGTAAGATTTATTCCTATGGAATAGCCTGCCTACCGCAATCAGACTCTCCCCTAGTCTTCAATCATTTGAGTAGGGCCTTAAAACCCAACTTTAGGAAAGCTTATGGCCTCCCAGAGTAACCTCTACCTCACATACCTGTCTCTTGCTCTCTCCTATAGGGCAGTGCTTTACTCTCTCCTCCAGCTCTGCTTCACTCTCACCCTATTTGATTGATATTTCCTGTCCTAATGTGTCTTATACCCCACCTCCTATAGACTGTAAGCTCATTTGAGCAGGGTCCTCTTCAACCTATCGTTCCTGTAAGTTTTCTTGTAATTGTCCTATTTATAGTTAAATCCCCCCTCTCATAATATTGTAAAGCGCTACGGAATATGTTGGCGCTATATAAATGGCAATAATAATAAGGGATACGGTGACGGTTAATGTAAGATTTATATCAGTAAGGATACGGTGACTGTTAATGTAAGATTTATATTGGTAAGGGATACGGTGATGGTTAATGTAAGATTTATATTGGTAAGGGATACGGTGATGGTTAATGTAAGATTTATATTGGTAAGGAATACGGTGAAGGTTAATGTAAGATTTATATTGGTAACAGATACGGTAATTGTGACGGAACGCTGGCACTCCGACTGAGTACCTCCGCCAATCGATGCTCCTAGTGCTCGCTGAGGACTCCAAGCACTCCAACCGACACCATCAGCACTGCAGACCCCACTTCCAGCGATGCAACTGCGCCGGGGTCTCTGCTGTCTCCACCCACCCTGGACCCAAGGCCAGGATCCAGCTTCCAGTGGGTGAACCTCTCTTTCCCCAGAGAGCAGGAACAGGAACAGGAACAGGAACAAGCTCTTAGCAGAACTTAGTGATCATACCCTGGGGAGTATAGTGATTATAGCAATCCCCAGAGTGTATTTCTCCAATCCCCCAAACATGAGCCAAGGCTTAATGCTGGAACAAGACTGATTTACTGGCACACAGAACTCACAATTTATGCAACACAAAACTCCTCCTCTGGGCCAGGCTAGATAATTGAGTTTCTACAATACACAAAGCTCAATTATCTGCTGGCCAGAAATAATACAGTTTTTACAGCATTCATAACTTCTAAAATATACATCACATTCACATAAAAATATATATTCACAATCAATCCATTCAGGGAAACAACATATCAAAAAATGGCATGAATCAGACCAGGGGTTCAGAAGTTAGTAAAGTATCTTTTGGGGCCTGGCTGGCAGCATGGATATCTGGCCCAAACTGGTTTTACAGATCCCTCCAGCCTGGAGACAATGGAGAAAATAATCCAATTATCCAGGGATAGAGGCAGGCTCCATTGAGCACATGTTCCCAGAAAACACAAAAGGATACAAAAATACATAACTCCTATCATACTGAATTGAACAGGCCAAATCAGTCCTCTCCAGGCACAAGTGGCGAAGGGCACTTCGTCACAGTAATGGTTAATGTAAGATTTATATTGGTAAGGATACGGTGAAGGTTAATGTAAGATTTATATTGGTAAGGAATATGGTGACGGTTAATGTAAGATTTATATCGGTAAGTGATACGGTGATGGTTAAAGGATCACTATAGGGTCAGGAACACAAACATGTATTCCTGACTCTATAGTGTTAAAACCACCATCTAGCACCCCTGTGCCCCTAATGCCTCCATAAATGTAGTAAAAATCTTACTGTATTCAAACCTGAAGCTGTAACTCTGCATGCTGTTAGACTCAGAAAAACAAGCAGTCTGCTGACATCATCAGAAGTGGTAGCCTGATCCAATCACAATGCTTCCCCATAGGATTGGCTGACACTGACAAGGTGTCAGGGTGGCGGTCCGGTGCCCAGGACCCAGCTACTGTCTGGACGGCGGTGCGAGGCCCGGGACCCAGTATGCCTGATGTTCAGAGTAGGAGTCACAGTGTGAAGGTGGATTAGCAGGGTCTGGTGCAGGGTAACCGCACGCTCCCTGGTGTTGAGCACCAGCATTTGTGCAGCCACATACCAGAACCCTTATTCAGCTTATGCGGATCCCAGGAACTAGGGGCTAGGAAATAAGCAGACCTCCCAGGAGCTGAATAGGGGGGCTCTGCAGCAAGAATGTATCCAGTACAGAAACAAGGCAAGGCTAGAACAGGCACCAAACATGAAAACAAGACAAAACTAGAAGAACCCAGAACCAGAGCAGGACAGACAGCTAAACCCAGAACATGTACACAAGACATGAGGGAAACATGCAGTGGCGTACATACCAGGGTCGCCCCTGCGACCCGGTATGTACCCACAGGACCAGCCTCTTCCCCTGGGGGGCCCAGGAGCCGACCACCCCAGGGCCCCCCGAGGCTGGCCCTGCTGACACCGGGCGGGTGGCCGCGCGAGGGAGCACTCAGTGCTTCCTCTTCAGCTCCCTCGCGCACCGCACTGATGCCGGAGCCGGAAGATGACGTTATCTTCCGGCGCTGGCATCCCTACGCGGCGTGCGAGGGAGCTGAAGAGGAAGCACTGAGTGCTCCCTCGCGCACCCGCCTGCCCAACCGGCCACCCGCCCAGGAGCCCAGCAGCACCACTGGACCCCAGGGAATCCCCCCAGCACTCCAAAAGGTAAGGAGGCTGGGGGGATTGAATTAAAAAAACAAAAACATGTGTTAGTGTTAGTGTTTGAGTGTGTGTGAGTGTTAGTGTTAGAGTGTTAGTGTGTGTGTCTGCTAGTGAGTGTTAGTGTGTGTGAGTGTTAGAGTGAGTGTTAGTGTGTCTGCTAGTGAGTGTTAGTGTGTGTGTCTGCTAGTGAGTGTGAGTGTGTGTGAGTGTTAGAGTGAGTGTTAGTGTGTGTGAGTGTTAGAGTGAGTGTTAGTGTGTGTGTCTGCTAGTGAGTGTCAGTGAGTGTGTTACTGTGTGTGTCTTACTGAATGTGTTAGTTAGTTAGTGAGTGTGTTAGTGAGTCTGTTTGATGTCTGTTAGTGAGTGTGTGTTTGTCAATGAGAGTGTATGTTTTGTAAGTGAGTGTGTATGTATGTCTGTCGCTGACTGTGTCTCTGTCAGTAAATGTGTGTGTCTGTTAGCTAGTGTGTATGCGTCTGTAAGTGTGTGTGTGTCTTCAGCACTTACCTTTCTCCAGCGCCGGACTCCCATGGCGCTGGGGATCCCTCAGCCTCTCAGCTCCGAATGCGACCGCGCACGCATTCAAACTGCCCATAGGAAAGCATTACTCAATGCTTTCCTACGGACGTTCAGTGTGCTCCTCTAGAGGCTGTCAGTGAGACAGCCACTAGAGGCTGGATTAACCCTCGGTGAAACATAGCAGTTTCTCTGAAACTGCTATGTTTTCAGCTGCAGGGTTAAAACTAGAGGGACCTGACACCCAGACAACTTCATTGAGCTGATGTGATCTGGGTGTCTGTAGTGGTCCTTTAAAAGACCACTATAGTGCCCTGAGGGTGCCCCCACCCTCAGGGACCCCCTCCCGCCCAGCTCTGGAAAGGGGAAAAGGGGTAAAACTTACCATTTTCCAGCGCTGGGCGGAGCTCTCCTCCTCCGATCCTCTTCTTCCCTCGTCGGCTTATGCGCACGCGCGGCAAGAGCTGCGCGCGCATTCAGCCGGTCACATAGGAAAGCATTCATAATGCTTTCCTATGGACGCTGGCGTGCTCTCACTGTGAAAATCACAGTGAGAAGCACGCAAGCGCCTCTAGTAGCTGTCAATGAGACAGCCACTAGAGGAAATAGGAGAAGGCTTAACCCATACATAAACATAGAAGCTTCTCTGAAACTGCTATGTTTATAAAAAAATGGGTTAACCCTAGCTGGAACTGGCACCCAGACCACTTCATTAAGCTGAAGTGGTCTGGGTGCCTAGAGTGGTCCTTTAAGTGTGTGTGCATCTGCATGCACTGGCGTACATACCGGGGTCGCAGCACTATATATGAAAACCCCTGCGACCAGGTGCCCACCGCCATGTGTTGCGGCCCGGCCAGCGCGGGGGGGGGGGCCCCACGGATCAATTTTCGCACCGGGGCCCCATGGGTCATGTGTACGCCACTGGAAACATGAACATAACATGGGCAGGACAGGACTGTAAATGGACTGGGAATACAAATTAAAACAAGACAAGATATGATAGGCAAAACAAGAGGAGAAATAACTAAGCACTATATATGAAAACCATGGGGGTTTAGTTACATTATATAATCATACATTGCATAAGCCTGCCAACAACGCCAATGCACCCCATATCTGGCAGGTCCTACTCTGCCTAATGTCTGCTAAACCAACCAAAGAAGACATATATAGCACTTACCTGCAAGAAAGGGCAGAAGCTTTGTGCAGCAGCCTGCAGGACACTGAAACAAAAGGAATGATGGAAAAGGAACGGTGTGGCAACATAAAACAAACATTTAAAGGAACCCTGGACACTGAGAATTCCAGGAATGGAATACAGGAATGAACCCAGAAAAACCAGCATAAAGAAAAACAAACATAGAATAGAAAACCAAAAAAACAAGAAAAACTAAACAAGAATTGTAAAAAGAGTACTGGATACCAGAAGCCAAGGCCAGACTGATCCGCAGTGAGGAACAGGATGTGACAGCTCAGGGGCAGAGCCAGCATGATTCAAACACAGCCCTGGTCAATCAGCATCTCCTCATAGAGATACATTGAATCAATGAATCTCTATGAGGAAAGTTCAGTGTCTGCATGCAGAGGGAGGAGACACTGAATGTTTGGATGCATTTTAGGCAGCCATGACCCAGGAAGGATCTCTAACAGCCATCTGAGGAGTGGCCAGTGAAGTTATCACTAGGCTGTAATGTAAACACTAGATTTTCTCTGAAAAGACCGTGTTTACAGCAAAAAGCCTGAAGGTAATGATTCTACTAACCAGAAAAAAATCAATAAGCTGTCGTTGTTCTGGTGAATATAGTGTCCCTTTAATATAAGCTTTATATCGGTAACAGATACAGTGACGGTCAATGTAAGATTTATATCGGTAACAGATACAGTGACGGTCAATGTAAGATTTATATCGGTAACAGATACAGTGACGGTTAATGTAAGATTTATATCGGTAACAGATACATTGACGGTCAATGTAAGATTTATATCGGTAACAGATACAGTGACGGTTAATGTAAGATTTATATCGGTAACAGATACAGTGACGGTCAATGTAAGATTTATATTGTGTGATAAAGTGAAGGCAGATAGGCCTATAACATTTAACCCCAGGGGGAGTATGTGTAGGATGTGTTGTAGGCAACACAAAACGCTGTTTAGTTATGGGCCCCTGGGGTGGAGCATTTGGAGAGAAGGGTGGGCCAATGCTCCACTCCACAGTTTAGTGGTTTTCTGGGGAGACATGGATCCAGGCCAGGGTTTTTTGGATCGTCTCCAACCCACTGCTCAGCTGCAGTTAATGAGCTGTTGCAGTGGGAATAAACTCCTCCCTGCTAGGCAGGTAAAGGAGAGGGATTGCTGGCTTCCTCCCAGGAAGCAGGTAGGAGAGAGAGCTGTTCTCTCCAGATAGAGTCAAGGAGACTAGGCACTTGGAGTGCAGAAAGGAAGCAGTCAGGGCAAGGCTGGCTTGGAGCACTGGGAGTGCAGAAAGGAAAGCAGTCAGGGCAAGGCTGGCTTGGAGCACTGGGAGTGCAGAAAGGAAAGCAGTCAGGGCCAGGCTGGCTTTGAGCACTGGGAGTGCAGAAAGGAAAGCAGTCAGGGCAAGGCTGGCTTGGAGCACTAGCAGTGCGGAAAGGAATGCAACAGGCTAGCCAGCAGAGTGTTGCTAACTAATAAGGTTGGTGCCATATGTTTTGTTAGTTTAACCCTGATAGAGAGGGATGTTCAAAGTGAGTTAGTGCTCAGACCGAGCTAGGTTTTTGTTTATAGGGTTTTGTGTTACATTTATGTTTTAATTTACTGCTGTATCCTGTGTGGATTTGCAAATAAAGGGACTGGATTATATGCAATTACAAGGACTGTGCATGTTTTTGCCCTAGAGGACCGTGCTACCTGCTGACAAGGATCACAATTGGTAACAGATACAGTGACGGTCAATGTAAGCTTTATATCGGTAACAGATACAGTGACGGTCAATGTAAGATTTATATCGGTAACAGATACAGTGATGGTCAAAGTAAGATTTATATCGGTAACAGATACAGTGACGGTCAAAGTAAGATTTATATCGGTAACAGATACAGTGACGGTCAATGTAAGATTTATATCGGTAACAGATACAGTGACGGTCAAAGTAAGATTTATATCGGTAACAGATACAGTGACGGTCAAAGTAAGATTTATATCGGTAACAGATACAGTGACGGTCAATGTAAGATTTATATCGGTAACAGATACAGTGACGGTTAATGTAAGATTTATATCGGTAACAGATACAGAGGCAGTTATCGAATACAGTTATATATTAATAACAGATAAAACCGAGTTTCGTGTCACAGCAGGCATCGTTCCATGTGAAGTTGTTTGTTTGTGACATTATTGTACACATGTCTGACACAGGGTCACTGGGTTCCCCATCCCCCCAGTTTATGTAGTTTACAGCCTCCCCATCTGTCCAGTAGAGGTACCCCCACACTTGATGCCGACGGAGTCCAATCCACAGTCCCTGGGCAGTTATATTTCTAGAGACTCTGGCTGCTAACTCTTGGGTCTTGCTGTTCGGGATGCTGAGTAAGTCGCTGTAATTATGGCGGCAATAATGCAGAGCATCCCACCAGCTTAATGGCGTCATCACCAGATGGATATCATCCTGGTCACCCGGCACTAAAACAGAGCGATATTAATAACATTAAATCCGAGATCCCAAGGCATCAGATAAAACCTAGCTCACATGTCCTAATCCCATTTCCCAGAATGCCTTGCTAATGCTTTGATGGATGGTGGAAGCATAACATCTATTTTAGTCATAAAACAATAGAGCCCACCTAAAGATAGCACGGCCAGTTACACTTATATCTTGAAGTAAGTCTCCACGTAACATGACTTGTGTATGAATGTTGTCAGACATATTGTGAAAGAAATATTAGAATTATTGTATTATTCACACTGCAGATACCAAATAAGAAAAAACGTATCATAGCCACTTCTGTAGCCGTTGGAACAAAATAGTGGACAATGTTTTTGTGACATTGAAAAGAGCCGAGGAAGCAGTTATAACCTGAATGCCTTATTAGACAATGGTCTAATTCTATTTATAACTTAAAACACTTTAACTAAGACAGTAAACAAATATATTTAGTTGACTCTGCCCAGTTACAAAAGTAGCATGTGTTAACTCGAACAATAGAGAGACTTCTAACTCTGGAAGAATAACAAGACCTCTGGTCAGAAATATAAAAAGGCGATTTAATATTGAATTGTCTGACTGATTAAATCAGAAGGATATAGATTTCAAAGTATATCTCCAAAATATTAGTTTTAATATTCTGCCCCACCAATTATTTCTACAATGTAATCTCCTGTGTCGCTGACCGAGGAGATAACCTTTTAGGGAGAAGTGGAGATGACTCATCCGACATGGTCCACACTGCAAAAAAAAAACAAATAGCGAGCTAAAAGTTAGCTGCTGGTTGTGCTAAACTAATTTTAACATTCTTTATAGTTTATTTTCATTTAGTTTGTATGCTTTTCCAGTCAAAGCCTTTCAAAGTTTTCAATATATATACAGTGGGACCTTGGTTTACAAACTCGGTTAACATAATTTTCGGTTTACAAATGAAAATCCATTGAAAATAATGCCTCGGTTTACACATTTTTTTCGCAATGCAAAGCAAGTTTCCCCAGGATGCATGGCACCTGGGAGGTTTTTAGCACCGCTATTTGCTGGAGTCTGTGAGTAGCACGTGGCGTCGAGTGTGGAGGTGTTGGAGCGGCTTTTGCATCGAGTTTTGGAGCCATTCTGGAAATTGTTTGCAGTTGTTTTGGGACTTTTTGGTGCATTTCTCAAGCTGTGGAAAGGTAGGGAGCTGACCTTTGTCGTTTGCATGCCTTTTATTGTGTGCATTGTGGGTTAGTTTCCATGCCAGCTCATTTTGACTTTTTTCTGACCTCCAGAACAGATTAATTGGTTTTCAGTGCATTCCTATGGGAAACCACTTTTCAGTTTACAAATTTTTTGCAATAAGAAACGTCCCGGAGAACGCATTAAACCGAGGGCCCACTGTATATGTACACACAATGCACCGACAAAACCCTGAGCACACATACCTCTCCTTCCCATTAGAAAAAAAGGGAGATTAAAAGATCACTGTAATGATTATGGTACCAAAAAGTCCATGTTTCCTTCCCAGCATAATCTGACAAACTGTTTTTGCATGATTTGGCGCCCACACTGTTTCTGGTCTTTTTGGAACTGGAGAAGCTGGCTATCAGTTTTGGTTAGTTCAGATTCAATTTGTTCGTTGCTATCAGCCAGTGAATGGACAACCACATGGGAGTCTGGCCAGACTCAGGTAATGGTCAAACCGAGCTAAAACAGTTTGACCGATTATGCTGGGACTGCAGCCCCATGGAGACTCATAGGCAGAGGAGGGTCTTGAGAGTTTGTACTGAGCAAGGCAGTAGGGATTGGTAGAGAGGGTGAGGGTGAGCGTTAGTAGAATGAAGTGTATATAGGGGCTGGGGACCGTTACACGGCAGCCATTTTATTGGTAAATCTGTCAATCTATCTCTTTTGATCTTTTCTTTTCTGTTTTATTTTCTCGTTGTATCTGTCTTCTGTGCTGTCCCACTTGGCTCCTTTCTGTCTCTCTTTCTCTTGGTATCTTAGTCCTCTCTATGTGTGTTCTCTGTCCCCTTGTTGTGTGGCTCTTATCCTCCCTGAAATATATTTTGTGACAGACCCTCTATCCATGAATTTTTAACTTTCAAACTCTTTGTTCGTCTAACAGTTCGTCTGGAAAAGATTCATATTTATTTTACTAATGGCCGTTCGAATAATGAATTATCTACCGAATGACCGACCACCCAGACCGGAAGCGTGGTGCTTCTTAACCTCAATGCCCTTATTAACACCTCTAAACCATGAACATCCCTAACATTCTAAGTAATCAACTGGGTGGTCGGCGTTCGTACGCACGAACACGTGGTGGCGGCGGCCATCTTGGGATACAAATGCGGCCAGCTATGTTTTGTCGTTGAGTGTATGGAACTAAAATCGGAAACTCGATGGTATAAAACCTGCTGACTTCCACTCCTCGTTCTGTTCGACAGTTATTGCACGAACAGAGCGCCGTTTGTTAGATACAATGTATCGAAACAGTTATATTCAATGCTCATGTGCCCGAACAGCCACATTCAACTCTTTTAATGGATTTTGACTGTATGAAAGAGACCGACCACACAGCCTGTAACCAGAGCAATCTCGCCACATTGCATTGGAGAAGCCTGGTTGCTAGCCTGCTGCCTTTGGATTATGGCCCCCATGTTAAAAGACATCTTTTTCACTGCAGAAAAGACTTATTCATGCTTTTCTGCCCGGTGTTCGGTAGATTCTCGGATTTACTGAATGAACTCATATAACCCAGATAGGTATGCCATGGAGCCTATTCATGTAATAAAAGACTTTGGCTCCATGGCAATTGAACTGTATGTGTTTGTGGTCTGAGTGAATGTGATGCATACTTTTCAAGTTATGAATAATGTGGAAAATTTGTATTTCTCTGCTTGTGCTAAATTACATTACCCATTGTGTAAGGTAATTGAATCACAAGCAGAGGGAAGGAATTTGTGTGGGAGTGTCTGAGTGTATTGTATGTGTTTATTGGTTGTGTTCCAAAACCCTGTGGGTGGTACTAATGTGTAAGAATGTGTACATAAGCATAATAAACCAACAGCTCTGACTGTTCACTGCTTGACCCTCAACACGGAGCTTTGTCTCGTTCTTGGGGGGGATTTATTGTATGCTGTTCCAGTTCGACTCTAGGAGTGTAAACCTATTCGTATGGTTTTTCCTATTCGGCTGTTTACAGCATTCATATGGTTTCCTGTTCGGCGGATTGGTGTTCTGCAGTAGCTGTGCCTGCATCTTTGGAAGGGGACGATCGCCTAAACGGTTTTAACCCCTTGTGTGCTGAAACGGTCCATTACACAGCCTAATCCTCTTGAACTATTTTGAGCATGAAAACATGCGTGCGATCGGTCAAAAGAGACTTCTACCTAACTCTTG